AATCCATGGCAACAGTGGAAATCCATGGTAACAGTGGAAATCCATGGTAACAGTGGAAATCCATTTCAACAGTGGAAATCCATGGTAACAGTGGAAATCCATGGTAACAGTGGAAATCCATTTCAACAGTGGAAATCCATGGTAACAGTGGAAATCCATGGGAACAGTGGAAAGGAAAAACTACCTTTAAACAGGAAGAAACTTCCAGCAGAACCAGAATCAGGACGAACCGCCATCTGCTTCGACTGGCTGGGTTTGAGAGGACAGGAAGGAGAAAGAATTGAACACAAAAGGAAATGTGGTCAGTTTGTCCTCCAGCAGTTTATAAGGATTAAATAATAATATAATATAATGTAATATAATAATTAATAGTAAGTCAATAAGAATTAAATACATATTGACCTCTACTAAAACATACACTCTGCCTATACTACTGTACTGTAAATAGTCTGCCATTCTCAATATTCCAATACATACTGAACATTATTAATCATATTGTTTATCTTATTTCTTTATTGTTTTGAACATTTAGGAACTTTTGTGTGAATCTTTTTATCTGTTGCTGCTGCCGTGCTCTCCTGTAGTTGCAGCTTTGTGCACTCCGCCCATCTTTCGGACGACTGTACGTACATATTCGCGTTGTACCTTGGTGCAATTCCAATAAAGTTTATTCTGATTCTGATTACACTTGAATTTCCCATATGTGGGACAATAAAGGCTGTTTCTATTCTATGCTAAGCCTATAGCAGCATAACTAAGGCATAGCTAAGGAAACCCAAGCCAACCCTAACTATAGCATATACCAAAAAAAAAAAAAGACTTAAGCCTAGTCTTAAAAGCAGACTAGGTGTCAGCCTCACGGACAGAAAATGTAAGTTTGTTCCACAAGAGAGGAGCCTGATGGATGGGAGACTGTGCCAAAGTGAAGATCCAACGCAATCTGCTGCTTCCTTAGATAACTTTACTAAGTGGCTTTTTCTGTATGTGAATATTTTTGGATAGTGCCCTGAAACAACTTCTGTTGTGACTTGGTGCTATAGAAATAAACTGAATTGAATTGAACTTCTAACTGAAAGCTCTTCCTCTTGATTCTACTTTTGAAAACTCTAGGAACCACAAGTAAACCTGCCGTCTGAGAGCAAAGCGCTCTGTTAGGAAAATATGGAACATTTAGGTCTGTAATATAAGATGGAGCTAGGTTGTTGAGAGCTTTGTAGGTTAGAAGTTAGATTTTGAATTCTATTCTGGATTTGACAGGGAGCCAATGGAGAGAAACTAAAACTGGAGAGATATGATCTCTCCTACTAACTCCAGTTAAGACTCTGGCAGCAGCATTTTGGATCAACTGAAGACGTTTTAAAGAAGTATTTGGACACCCAGATAATAAACCGTTGCAATAGTCCAGTCTAGACGTGACAAATGCATGGACCAGTTTTTCTGCATCATTTTTGGACAAGATGTTTCTAATTTCAGTGATATGCAGGTGGAGGAAAGAGGTTCTGGTAAGATTTTTAATGCAGGGGTTAAAATACATGTCCTGATCAAAACTAATACATTTTTTTTTAACTTTAGAACTGGAGGCCAAATTAATGCCATCCAGAGGAAGTGAGAGGCTGCAAAGTTTAGTCTTGAGATGCCCAGGTCCAAAAAACAAAACCTGAGTCTTGTCTGAGTTAAAAAGCAGAAAATCTAGTTTTTATGTCTTTAAGACAGTTTACTGGAACTCCTCTGACTGATGAAGCTTTCTGGATAGAGGGCGAAACGTCTATAAAACAAGAAACTGTCCAGATGACCCGGCTGAGAATTATTGGATTTGGTACCTGGATGATTGAGCATGAACTTTGTTGTCTATGAGACATGCTTGGAACTTAAGTAACTGATTGGATTCATTTTGTTTCATGGACAAATATAAGTGAGTATGCTGGTAGGGAGTGGAACTTCCATGTTCTGTGTCTCACTCGTGACATGAATCTGAATGACACAGGGGTGTGAGCCATGCAGGCGGGGAGGAACTGTTGTTGACACCTCAACGAGTGTTACTTGTGATTCCTTCACTGAAAATCAACTGCATGTATCACTCAGTGAACGAAACACTCACACTCTGTCCTGAGTGATTCCAACCATTTCCTAGTGGGAACATGCTCTCATGCCACTGGCATCTGTTTCTCCAAGCCAACGGCTAATGTTGAGTCAAGTCGCATGAAAATACGCCCCCATTATCTTAACAGAGGTACACAACAGTAATGAGAGGAGACGAAGAGCGAGTGAGACACACAGCAGTTCAAGCTGCAGCAGCAGCACGGGGGTGGCTGAGTGTGTAGATTAATGTGCAACACCCCCCCCCCCCCCCCCCCCCAAAAAAAAAAGTGAGACACTGTGAGTGGGAGTCAAGAAAAAGTGTTGTCTGGACACAATTAATTGCCTTTCTGCTACAGCTGTGATGTTTATGCATTTATTTTTTTATCTCCCCATTTTTTTTATTTAATATTCCTCAATTTTTATTTCAGTCTTTCCTATGGACCAGATGCTCTGTGTCCTTAATAAAGTCTTAACACCACCATCACTACAATCATATAATAATAATATAATAATAATATTAATACTAATATACTGCATGGTATCTGTATCGGCCGATATCGGCACTTAAGTAAAATATCGGACATCGGCCGTTCAATCAGAAAAACTCACCTCTATAAAAAGCTTCTGTTTTAAGTTAATTTTTCATTTAAGAAACTGTCAAGTTTATCTATTAATGCACTTTTCACTTGTCACTTGTGAACAGGTTGAGTTTAGATTTGTGAAAATGTACAAATTTGCACTGTTCGAGTGTTGTCATTGTGTTAGAGTAAATGTCATGAATACATTTGACATTAAACATTATCCAAGTTGAAGTGTTGCATCATTTTCAGCCTCTTTTTGGCATCTGCAGGGCAAACTGACAAAACACCATGCAGAATAATGTAGTATTTTAATTTCACAGCAGAGAAAGCTATGTAGTCTCTGTAAGTAGGTCTAGGGGAAAATATATTGGTATTGGTAATCGGCCAAATAAGTTTTAACATATCGGATATCAGCCAAAAATCCAATATTGTGCATCCCTAATTGTAGTAATAAAATAAAGAGGACTCTCGTTTACATTTAGTGATGTGCTGCTTGTGTTGTCACTCACAAACATAGGCTACGCAGAGAGGGGGGTCTGTCAGAGAGGTCGGGGGAGTGATTCATTCAATGAACGTACTGTTGATTTGTGCTTGTGCACTCAGTGAACTGCAGCAGAGGAGTGATTTGTTCTTGTATTACTGTGCTGGAAGTGGCGTTGTGTCACTCACTCACGTACCGCACAAATAAACTGTGTTGAACTGAAGGATTCAGTGAACGAATCGTTTGAACACACCATTTTAATTAACCGATTCAGTACACTTTGCTAAAAGACGGACAGTCTCAAGGACAAAACACCCCCATTCTCCTATGCTTTCATCTTCCACCCCCCGCCAAACAGAAAAACTGCTTCCCCCTTCCTTTATGATGGAGCCTCAGAGTTATTTGTCAAGCACCAAAAAATATGCAGGAAGAAGAAGCAAAGGATGTGGCAGTTGTAGG